TTTATCAAGAGGTGTTACCTCTCTTCCATCTTGCACCTCCTGTTTCCTCTTCATGTCTCCTGGCATCCCTTCCCGAGCCTAGCTTCTCCTCTCTCTCCCTCCCTGGAAATCCCACCTATATCTCCTGCCTAGCTATTGGCCGTTCAGCTCTTTATTACACCAATCACAGGAATACATCTTCACACAGTGTAAGCAAATATTCCACAACAAAAAGGTACTTTTATCTGCAAATGGCTACTGACCCAGGATGTTATTTTTTTTAATATATTTATTTATTATGTGTACAATATTCTGTCTATGTGTATGCCTGCAGGCCAGAAGAGGGCACCAGACCCCATTACAGATGGTTGTGAGCCATCATGTGGTTGTTGTGAATTGAACTCAGGACCTTTGGAAGAGCAGGCAATGCTCTTAACCACTGAGCCATCTCTCCAGCCCAAGTTTAAACAATTTAACTGTATACTAGAAAGAGAAAAATGAAACAAAACAAAACTCTAACATAGCAACTGTCTTACTGTTCTATTGCTGTGAAGAAACACCATGACTAAGCAATTCTTACACAAGAAAGCATTTGATGCAGGGCTTGCCTGCAGTTTCAAAGAGTTAGTCTGCTATCATCACAGTGGGGAGCAGACAGGCATGGCACTAGCGCAGCAGCTGAGAGCTTCACATCCTGATCCACAGGCAGCAGGCAGAGACACTGGGCTAGGTATGGGCTTTTGAAACTGGAAAACCCACCTCAAGTGACACACTTTGTAGACCAGGATGGCCTCAAGCTCACTGAGATTTGCCCTGGGATTAAAGGTGTGTACCACCTCCGCCTGGCTTTACATCTATTTTCAAAGTAAGGTAGCTTTTTTTTTTTTTTTTTTTTTTTTTTGCATGTGTTTTCTGGAAGAAAATTTACATGAAGTCAGAACATTGAGTCTGAATATCTACATTATGTGAGTGAATGCTGGTTTATACATTGTAGGGAAGGAATGGATGTATACATGGAGGAAAATCTTACTTTGGATTTTGAACTTTACAACTCTCTGGTATGCTCCATGATGAAAAAGATGTTCCTTCAAACTCTAGCTGAATCTAAGAAATGAGATGAAAGTTCATGTTAACAAACAAACACTGTTCATCTAGTTTTCAGTTGTAACTTCAATTATCTGGTTTGTATTACTTAAAAAAAACAACTAAGATCCAGTTATATTGAAATTGTGCGAAATAAAATGTCAAAACAACAAGGAATGCTTGTCACACATCAGCAATCGACACACTTGTGGCTGGAGAGATGGCTCCTCTTGCAAAGGACTGGGGTTTAGTTCCCAGCATCCACATTAGGCTCCTCAGTACCTGTAACTCCAGTTCATGGGATTGTACTTCCTCTTCTGCCCTCCAGAAATACTAAAACACACACACACCATAAACATGCAATATATATATATATATATATATATATACATACCACACACAACACATAAACACACACAGACTACACACACACACGATTACACACACTGCACATACACACAAGCACACACAGACTATACACACTATACACACATCACACACATACCACAGACACCACACACACACACACCACACACATACACACAAACACCACATACACACATAAACACACATACACCACACATACACAAACACACAGACTACACACATACCACACACACACACACACACCATACAATAATAAATCAAGTTAAAATTGTCTATTAAGCATTTAAAGGGGAATGGTATTTTGATAGGTTATAAAGATTAAAAGTGATGAAAAGATATGATTCTTCGCTTAAAAACAAGATGCTTTAGTACTGAGGTCCTGCCCTTGACACATTACCAGCTGTCAACCATCATGACTTTATGGGTTACCTTTTCCCTATTTCTAAACACACACACACACACACACACGGAGTAGGGAAGGAGAGGGAGCGAGTGCTAGTGGTGTAGCTCAGTGTCTCTGGGTCAAATATATAGGGCTAGCCAAGTAGAGTAAGGTATGTGTGTGTGTGTGTGTGTGTATGTGTGTGTGTAGTTCTAAAATTAACCAATATAAAATGTATACTTTCTTTTTCACTCTCACATAAGTAATTTACCCACACTGGCCACATTTATAAAGAAAGTCTCCATGAACCTCAATGAATTATTATAATACATGCTATTCCTTTCAATACTAGCCAATAAAAATTAGAAGTTCATATAGACATAGGTGGAAAAATTCCTAGAGTGCCTGTAATCTTAAAGCAAAAATGAGTCCAGCAAGGTGGATTTCTGAATGATTCTTTAAAGAAAACAATCCTAATGTAAATCACACAACACCTGCAAAAAACCAATGATAGCATTTGGTGTTATTAAAAATGACCATGTATTGTGTAAGTAATAGTTCAAAGGGAACTTATAGTCTTCCATGTATATAAAAGAAATATGTTTGAAAACAAACTCAGTTGTCAGTCTGAGAATAAAACAACAGCAGAGAACATCTCCCAGAAATAAAAAAGAGATTTTTTTAAGAGAAAAAAAAAAAGATTTCCTAGAAAGAAAATAACATTTATAGGAAGAAATAATTTTTATAAGTCACTAATGTGATGGCTAATGTGGGTTGTCAACTTGACCCCCATCTCCAGTCAACTGCAACCAAAGCAGCAAGGCACACCTGTGACGGATTTTCTTGATTTAGCTCTTTTGGCACGTGAAGACCCCCCTTAAATCTGGTGGCAGCCCACATAAAAGGACACGGAAGAAGGGAGCTTTTGCTTTTTGTCTGCTCACCCTCATTCTTCACTGATAAATTTGTCCATCCTATTTCTGAGGCATTCCTTTGCTGGTGTTAGAACCCACTTCTTCAGGGTTCCAGTGTGGTCTGAAGCCCGGCAGCTCTTGAGGACTTCCCTAGCACCCTGGCCCAGACTGGGACTGCTGAGACATCCAGTCTTTCAGACTGAACAACTACTGGGCCCCTTGGCTTTTCCATCAGGAGACGGCCGTTGTTGAACTACCCAGACCACAGCCTGTAAGCCAGTACAATAAATCTGAAAAATCCTTTAGAGAACCTGGACTAGCACACTCCTGTTGTGGTTTGAAAGTGAACTGCCTCCCTCCCACTTTTGGCTCACGAGTTTGAAACGCTTGGGCCCCACCCCTGTGCTGCCTGGGACAGTTTTAGGACTATTGGGTCTTACTAGACCCGAGTTAAGTGGGTCACTTAACTGGGACCTTGAGGTATGACCAGGCGTCACTTGCTCCTCACTCTCTACTTCCAGACTGTGGATGCAGCCAGCCAGCCTCCCACCTGCCCCATGCCTTCCCCACCAGGATGGAATGTATCTCCTTGAAGTGTAAACCATAAAACAACCCTTCCCTTCCTTAAGTTGCTTCTTGTGAAGTCTCTCACAACCATCTGTAATGAGGTCTGGTGCCCTCTTCTGGCCTGCAGACATACACACAGACAGAATATTGTATACATAATAAATAAATACTTTAAAAAAAAAAAAAGAATAGTGATACAAAAAAAAAAAAAAAAACACTTCTAGGATTAGAACCAGAAACATTCAAACCCAAAAGTCAACAGCAAAAGAAATCCCTACTGGAAATGAGTAATTAGGCTCATTGACAAACTTTGTAAAAGCCCTGGGTTCTTAGCAGGTGGCGATGAGCACCCCCACTCCCCACCCCCCCCCACTGCCTCACCCCTGCCCCCAGGGAACAGCATGACAGATCTATGAATTTCAAAATCAGCCAGCCAGAGACTGGAGAGAAATGCAATTGGGCAGGAAGAAAAATACAGGCTGAGGAAGGAGAATCAGAGACAGGAGAGCTGGTGTGGAAGGCATTCTGTGTCCTTCTTTGTTTGTTTGTTTGTTTGTTTTTCGGGACAGGGGTTCTCTGTAGCTTTGGAGCCTGTCCTGGAACTAGTTCTTGTAGACCAGGCTGGCTGGCCTCGAACTCAAAGAGATCCACCTGCCTCTGCCTCCTGAGTGCTGGGATTAAAGTCGTGCGCCACCATTCCCAGGCTGAGCTATTTTTAACTACTCTTCCAATCTTAATGAAAGGGAAAGATAATTTCAATTTCATGTTTTTTTTTTTTTTTTTAAACTTAAACTGGACTTGTTTGTTTTTTTAAGGAGGCTCAACTGGTAAAGGTGCTTATCCCTAGTCTGGCAGCCTGAGGTCAACCCCACAACCCATAAAAGCTGTCCTCTGACTTTCTCAAGAATGCCATGGCTTGTGCCCCTCCCCCCACGAACATAATAACAAACCAAATTACAAATCCAATAAAATTCCTTTAAAGAGAAAAATCAACAGGAAGGGGATCACTAAGTAGACTCAGAGGGGTTTAAAAAAATCAAGGACAATGAAGGTGGTGGAGAAACGTGTTGGGGGAATGGCAACAGGAAGTGCCAGGAGGATTTGGGATAGATTTATCAGTGTGTACAAGTGTGAAACTGTCAACGAATATGTAAAAGAGAAAAAGGAAGTGATGATAAAATGGAACAAAGATGAAGCCTGAGGCTATATTGCTTGGGGCCCTGGGTTTAATTTCCAGCAAAGCAGAAGAGGGATAGACTATTGAATGTACAACTTGGATGGACCTGGATGGAATGATGGTAGTAAAAACCCATCTCAGAAGGGTGTTCGGATGTTTTGATGTAACTGTAAACATTTTACACACGTACGAATAACAAAATCTAGAAAAGGAGAACTGGCTTGTGGTAACAGAACTGGAGAGCGGGTATCAAGTGTATTTTGTAAGAGAACAGCAGAACGGAGCCTTGTAGTGCCAGAGCGGTTTCTGTAGCGTGTAATTGTGGCAGGGATTACACGAAGCAACACATGGGATAAACCTGCATGGAGCTGTGTGTTCAAATGTGTGCAGGAGAAAACAAATCCGACTCAATACTGTGCCAATGTTTCCTGGTTTGAGTATTTGACACAAGATGCTACTATTGAGAGGAGCTAAGTGAAAGGTATCGCCCATATTTCTTTGCAATATTTCTTTGCAAACAAACAAACAGACCAAGATTTCCCTAACGGGCTTGAGCGATAGCTTAGTTGGTTGGGAAAGTGCTTACTGCGCAAGCATGAAGACCTGAAAGTCGATCCCCAACACATGTATAAAAAGCCCGGTAGGGGAGCAATATCTGTGATCCCAGCGTTGTGGTCACAGAGACAGAAGAATCCCTGATCCTTGCTGCTTAGGTAGTCTAGCCAGTCAGAGAACACAAGCTTCAGTGAGAGACTGTCTCAAAAACAAGAGGACTGAAGAGACCATTTGGGATTGAGAACACTTGCTCCTCTTGCAGAGGACCTGGTGGTGTTCCACAGCCATCCCTGACTTCAGTTCTAAGGGACCCAACATCCTCTTCTGCTATAGGAATTCCTATGGCCAGTAGCCTTTAAGTTACCCGCCCACTTTGGTGTGACCTCTATACTATAAATGCCAATGTAAAACAGGTGTCTGGCCTCTCTTCCAGCTGCGGGATTCCGTTGCTGTTCCCCGTTGGAGCAGAAGACTGTGATTTGTGAGTCTACCCCTAAATAAATAACCCTTGATTATATTCAATTCTGAGCTAGTGTGAGATTTCTTTTTAGCATCCATTTTCAGTCTTCTGACCTCTCCAGGCATGAGACATACACACAGTAAACATATATACATGCAGGCAAAAAATTCATACAAACTTAACAAATCATTTTTTTAAAGGGTGCCAGACCCCATTACAGATGGTTGTGAGCCACCATGTGGTTGCTGGGAATTGAACTCAGGACCTCTGGAAGATCAGGCAGTGCTCCTATCCACTGAGCCATCTGTCCAGCCCTTAACAAATCATTTTTAAGAAGGGTAGGTGTAGAGTGATTGAGGAATACATGCGATGTTGACCTCTGGCCTCCACATGAACATGTATATACATAAGCACCTGAACAAATGTTTGTATACATGTTCACATGTATACACCCAAGGAGAATAAACAAATAAATAGATCTTTTTCCAATAAAGAAACAAAATCTGTGATCTGGAATGGAATGGCAGATTTTCCTGTCAACCTGACTAATTACAGCAATTTAGAGATATGGTTTACATCGGTTATCAATGTTAAGTATGAGAACATACTCTCCATAGCCAATTGGAAGACTTAAGAGCAGAATTAGGTTCCTGGAAAACAAATTCTGTCTCAAGACCGCAGCATTATCGCTTGCATTTCTAACTGTCCGGGCTGGCCTGAAACTTTCAAAGTCACCAGAAGACTCCTGAAGAGAAACAAAAGGCTACACAGAGGAAACAATTTTAACACAACGAAAAATGTGTGCATACGCATATCATAAATAAATAAATAAATAAGCAAATTTGAATTCCATGTAAAATAAATTATCAGTGCAACTAGACAGATTATGAGAAATGAACTACTGGGCTAGAGAGATGGCTCCGCCACTAAGAGCCCTTGCAGCTCTTGCAGGGGACCCAGGGTTGGTTCCCAGCATCCATATGGCAGCTCACAACTAACTGCTTTAACTGCAGCTTCCAGGGGTTCCAACGCCATCTTCTGGCCTACAAGGCCAGCGCACAAAGGTGGTATAATACATGTATGCAGGTAAATACTCGTATACATAAAACTTTAAAAAGAGAGAATTGAACAAGATATGCTGTTACATTTTTTAAAAAGTAATAAAGAGACTAAGGTCTATAGATGAGTGGACCCTACATTTATAGTGCTGGTTTACATGAGTTGTAAGTTTACATCTGTTGAATAATAGTTATTCTATTTCTCAATAGGCAACATAGTATGTATAACATATGTATCTATCATAACACCTTTTTGTGACTATTAAACCACAAAATACATAAAATAGCACTGCCTATTTTTTAATTTATTTATTTTTTGTTTTTTTGGCATTTTGTTTTGTTTTGTTTTGTTTCTCAAGACAGGATTTCTCTATGTAGTCCTGGCTGGCCTGGAACTCACAGAGATCTGCCTGCTTCTGCTTCCTAAATGCTGGCATTATGAGTGCTGTGCTGTGCAGAATAAGCAGGCTGAGGTTCCAGGTTGTTGTGTTAGTAGGGGCAGCTCTATTAGAGTGTACGGCCCACCTGGCCACAGCCTTACCATACATGTCTGTCCTTTCCTCATTCCCTCCCCATCTTTAGCCAGGGTTCTAGACCCAAGCCATGCGAGACATGGCACTATGAACATAGTTAAGGACATGTACCAGAGAGGTACCAACAGTAAGGTGATGTGGGAGTGTCATATATCAACCTGTTGATTTCACTGGTTAAGCAATAAAGAAACTCCTTGGCCCTGATAGGGTTAAAACATAGGTGGGAGGAGTAAACAAAATAGGATGCTGGGAGGAAGGGCAAGTGAGCTGAGACTCTGCTCTGTTCCTGGAGAGACTTGACAGCTCTGCTCTCTGGAGCAGAGACGCCAGGCTCCGCTCTCCCAGGCAGCTCCGACCCAGGATGGATGGAGGCTAGAGTCTTCCCGGTAAGCGCACCTTGGGGTGCTTACACACATTACTAGAAATGGGTTAGTCCAGGTGCGAGAGTTAGCCGAGAAGAGGCTAGATAGAAATGGGCCAAGCAGTGTTTAAATGAATACAATTTGTGTGTTGTTATTTCGGGCATAAGCTAGCAGGCAGCCGGGGTGCTGGGGACGTAGCCCCGCCGCTCCTATTTCAACAGTAAGGTGATGAGAAGAAAAAAGGAGATACAGACGACACCACTGTAAAACAGTATGAATAACCCTTTGAGGGCTCAAAAACACTAACACTCTTTAAAAATAGTTAATACTTACAGAACTCCTGGTACTAAGAATGGAATAGTCCGAGCCATTGATGGAATATCTGTGGAGGAAAAGGCGAGATGTGATCTTGAGAATAATTTCTCCTCTACGTAGTAGGAATTCTATACATGGTCAGGGGATACCCTGGTTTCCAAGAGCTTTACCCTCCCAGGAAAGTGAGGTCAACAAATGGCCACTACCCATCAAGTCAGCTGGTTAGCGCTTGCTCGGTTCATGAGGCGTTAAAGTGACATGAGAAGTAAGTCCTCCCCCTTATTCACTTTAGATTTTGAAAGAGAAACTTGCTACATGGCACTGGCTAGCCTTAAAATCACTATGTAGCACAGGCTAGCCTCAAAGTCGTGATGAACCATTTGCCTCGCTCCTCTGAGTGACGGGATGCCTGGTTGAAAGCAAACATTCGTTACATCTATTTTGTAGAACAAATACTACCGAATATATTAGGTTTGACTCCTTCACTTAGGAACTCAGATAAAATTCAGAAAACTGGAGACTAGAGTTTCAAAACCCAGTAGTTTTTGTCTTAGAATACTAGAAACAAAACTTCTAAGTCCTTGTTCATGATCATTTTTGTACTGTTCATTTGTACCTTAAATTCTATATAGCTCATCCATCTCAGGAGCCACTAAGGCAATAGAAACAGACTATAAGGCACTGTGCACATGTAATTAAACTCTGTCTAGTATCACACAGTACAAGGACAGACACAACTCATTTCTATAATATATTCGAGCCAAGCCATAGTCACTGTAAAATAATTGCTAGTAAGGTAGTTTACACTCTTTTTTAAACTAATTCTTTGAAATCTGACGTGGGTATTACAATTGAGGTCCATCTCAATTTGAAGTGTGTATCAGGAGCTCACAAGTCACACGTGGTCAGGGATGCTCATACAGCGTCTTTCCCTTTGCTAATCCACTCTATCTACCCTGCATATTTCATTGCTGCTAGAATGGGTCTATCCTTAAAATTTAAGCCAGACCTGGCGGTGGTGGCGCACGCCTTTAATCCCAGCACTCAGGAGGCAGAGGCAAGAGGATCTCTGTGAGTTCGAGGCCAGCCTGGTCTACAAGAGCTAGTTCCAGGACAGGAACCAAAAAGCTACGGAGAAACCCTGTCTCAAAAAATCAAAAAAAAATTTTTTTAAAGCCAGAACCATTTTTCCTGTGTGTCAGAGAAAGTTGCTAGAAGGCTATTATGTAGTTCCTTCATCAGAATTACACAAGCCTCAACAGTGCTCTGAATTCTTATTTCAACAGATGTTCACCACCAGGAGAATTGTGCACATTTTATATGGACATGTACTCGTCAAATAAGGAAACACATGCTTTTATATAGCACTATTAATTAAAATGAATAGATTTTCATCATAGGTTTTATTCCCCCACCCCCACCCCGAGCAAGTGTGAACCATCTCTCACTTCCTATGGATTTAGTATAAACCCTTTCATTATGTTTGGAAGTGTTAGACGAGAGAAGAACTACCGGTGGGAATTAGGGCATCTTAAGACAAAGCTACAGTATGCAATTTAATTTGCAAACACACTGGAAACTAAGTGATGATGCTCCCTTTCCTGGAAGTTGGTTGGTGCCTGTTCCTCCCCAGCTTCGCCTCACCCTGAAGAAGGTACATCTAACTATGTATAAGAGGTAAATCTATAAAAGGTACATCTAACTATGTATAAGAGGTAAATCTATAAAAGGTACATCTAACTATGTATAAGAGGTAAATCTATGAAAGGTACCTCTAACTCACTAACTCTGGCAGCGCTCTGACGGCCTCCTCCTCGCTTCCTTCCCTGTGTCAGCTAGTTAATGTGTTCATGTTGGAAATGGATCTGAGGTGGATGCAGATAGATTATGGCCCTGGCTTTGTCCTCTAGCCACGACCCCTTGAAAACAAATTAAAGAGCATTAATTGACTCTTGTAGGGGCATTTCTATTGTGTTTTAATAAATAAAGCTTGCCTGAAGATCTAAGAGTAAAACAGCCACGTTGGTCAGCCTTACAGCCAGGCAGTGATGATACACACCTTTAATCTCAGTAACCACACTAGTTGCCATAGGCAATAGAAAAATAGTGCATGCCTGTAATCCCAGTGATGCACGAGATTAATCCCCGAACTAGAGAGGATTATAAAATGGGAGGAAACAACTCTCAGTCACAGTCTCATTCTGAGATTCTGGGAGGCAGGATCACCATCTTCAGACTGAGGCTGAGGTAAGAGAATGGCTGGCTGTTTTGCTTTTCTGACCTTCAGGTTGAACCCCAGTTTCTTTCTCTGAGTTTTTATTAATCGTGCTTCAGACTCTAATCTTTAACCTTTTCTTCTCTCAATAGATAACCCCCTTCCTAGCTTTGTGGGGTTTTACCTTTTTCTACAACTTATAAATTATGCCGTTTAGGCAAGCCATTTTCTCTTGAGCTCTGAACCTATATATGTATAAATTGACAAAATAGTGACTTTGAGAAAGCACTTGAGGGGCTAAAATCATTCTATTCCATTCATTACAGAGTCAACCCCATATACCTGGTGGACAACTAGAGGGAACCTATTCTGCTGGCACACGGTGACCTACATAGGGTTTCTCCTGCTGCAATGAAACACCATGACAAAAAAGTAAGGTGGAGAAGAAAGGGTTTATTTGGCTTATACGTCCACATCATAATGCATCAATCAATAGAGGAAGTCAGAATAGGAGCTCAAGCAGAACTGGAACCCGAAGGCAGGAGCCAATGCAGAGGCCATGGAAGGGTGCTGCTTACTGCCTTGCTTTGTATGGCTTGTTCAGCCTGCTTTGTTATAGAACCCAGGACCACCAGCCCAGGGATGGCACCACCCACAATGGACAGGGCCCTACCCAACTGATGACAAATTGAGAAAATGCCTGACAGCTGGCTCTCCTGGAGATCTTTCCTCACCCGAGGCTTCTTCCTCTCTGGTGACACTAACTGTGTCGAGCCGACACACAAAACCAGCAAGGACACACACAGAATATTTATAAAAATGCATCACTTAGTTGGCCCCAAGGCAAGTGCCGACAGATTTCCAAGAACAAGACATCACACTCTGTGGTTATACGGCCGCAGTAAGAAGCTATTACAAAGCCAGGGGTGTGATGCGCACCATTAGTTCCAACAAGGGCAGAGGCAGCCAGGTCTCTGTAAGTTCAAGGCCAGACTGGTCGGCACAGTGAATTCTAAGATAGCTAGGGCTATGTAGACACCCTGTCTCTAAACAAAACAAAACAAATTATAACAAGAGAAGGCAGCAAAATCCTTCTGTATTTAGAATTTTAAAATGAACTGCCAGGGCTGGCACACTGACATAGACAAAAGCCTCTCCAACCAAACACTGATCAATAACTCAAGGGTTATGGAGAATAATGCAAGTTAAAGCCACCTAGAAATGAAGGATGAAAGGACTTCATGTCGCTTGTTGTGAGCCGTAACAGGACAATAATGTAAGGGAAATTGATATTTTACAGAATCCTGTGAGGAGAGACACAGGTCCAAAACTATTAGTTACTTTTGGAGTTCTTAGAACTGAAGGTGATGGCATATGCCTCGATTCCCAGCACTCAGGAGACAGAGGCAGGAAGAACACCCTGTGCTATACAGTGAGACCCTGTTTCAAAAACAGAAAATGAGAAGACTGTGGGTGAGCTGGAGAGAGAATGAATATCAGAATAAGTCCATCACTATAGAAGGGTTTTTTAAAATGCAAACAAAAATGTATATAATACAAAACAGCAGAACAATGATGAATAGGGCAAGAACACTTATGATAAGACTGATGAAGATTTTATTTATTTATTATGTATACAGTGTTTGGCTTGCATATGTGCCTGCACACCAGAAGAGGGCACAAGATCTCATTACAGATGTTTGTGAGCCACCATGTGGTTGCTGGGAATTGAACTCAGTACCTCAGCAGTCAGTGTTCTTAACCTCTGACCCATCTCTCCAGCCCCTGACTGCTCAGATTTTAACCAAAAGCTGTCATAATTAGAGATAACATAGTTATTAAAAAGACAATCACTGGGTCAGTGAGATGGCCGTCCACATTAGGGTTCTACTGAAGAGACACCATGATCACAACTCTTATAAAGGAAAACATTTAAGTGATGCTGGCTTACAGTTTCAGAGGTTCTGTCCATCATGGTGGAAAGTATGGTGGCATGCGGGTAGACATGGTGCTGGAGAGTAGCTGAGAGTTCTACATCTGGATCCTTGGGCAACAGGAAGAGACAGTGAGTCACTAGGCCTGGCTTGAGCTTCTGAAACCTCAAGGCTCCCAGTGACACATTTCCTCCAACAAGGGCACACCTACTCCAACAAGGTCACACATCCTAATAGTGCCACCTCCTATGAGCCTATGAGAGCCATTTTCTTCCAAACCACCACAGTGGGTCATCAGATAAAAACACTTTCTGTACAACCCTGACAATCCAACTTTGTTTTCTGGGATCCATATAAAAACCTGGATACAATGACTCTAGTCTGTAATTCCATGCTCTTATGTAAGACTGGAGGCAGGGACAGAATCAGCTGGAAAGCCCTACTACACAAAATACAAGAGGCATCTGGTCTCAAACAGCAACCATACAAGGTGGAAGCAAAGAACCGACTGGTGGCTCCTGTCTATAACCTCAGCTCTTGCAGGGGTTAGGCAGGGAGATCATCATGCCAGCCTAAACTACACCATAAGTTTGAGGCCAGCATGGGTTATAGAGTGAGACCCTGTTTCAAGTATAAACTATACATGCATGCATGCATACACATATACACATATGTAAGGTCTCAATTATAAAAAGCTTTCAAAATTACGTCTTACTAACAAAAACTCTAAATATTTGTATAGCTACCAGAAGATATAAAGTAGTTGTTCAAGACCTCACCTAAAACACTGGGCTCAGAGGCTTTCCATATGAGTGCTATTAAAACTTTCAAGGAACAAATTGTCCCAATCTTAGGTAAACACTTTCAAAGAACTGGAAAAGAGGTACATTCTGTGACTTGTTTTCATAAATCTGGTGT